GAAGGCAAAAGCACTTTATCAGCATAGATTTGACACTTGTGACAGGTTCATGAATGTTGATAGCAATCTGCTTCCATGGTAGACCAGTAATACCCTGCCTGTATGATCTTTTTTTCCATCGTGTGCCCACTGGAATGGGTGCCAAAAGTGCCTTCATGTAGATCAGCCATGATTTTTTCTGCCTCAACCTTGTCTACACAACGAAGCAAAATAGATTCATGGTTGCGCTTGTAGAGAATGCCATTACTGATGAAGAACTTAGCAGAGAATCTCCTCAAGAACTTCTTATCATTGACTGGAGCTCCCTCTGGATACTCTTGAGTCTCGAGATACCTATTAACTTCATGGAACCAAGGCTGGTCCACTACTTCTTCAGTATCGATCTCGTGGCAGTAAGTTGGTTCATCCATCCGTTCAATGGTGATCTGGGGAGCCTCGTTACCCCTCTTGAGTTTAAACATGGATGACATGGTGGCTAGCGCGTCCGCTAGTTGATTTTCCTCTCGTGGAAAATGTTCAAAGGTAATTTCCTCGAAATGTGGGATTAATGTCAACACATGTTCCTTGGAGGGGATGAGATTAGGGTGCTTCGCGTCCCACTCTCCTTTGATCTGACTGATGACTAAGGCTGAATCTCCAAATACACTCAAGGATTTGATTCCCAAATCTATGGCAGCATTGAGACCAAAAATACACGCTTCATATTCTGCCATGTTATTTTTACAGTTGAAGCAGAGTCTTGCAGTGAAGGGAGTATGACATCCTTTAGGGTATATGATTACAACACCTATGCCATTGTTGAGTCTGTTGGACGCCCCATCAAAAACCAAGGTCCATCGGGATCCTTGTTCAGGTCTGTCATATGGTCTAAGTTCTTCACAGTTGTTTAACATCATGATGTCTTCATCTGGGAATTCGAAATTCATGGACTGGTAGTCATCCACAGCTTGATGAGCAAGGTGATCGGCTAACACACTGCCCTTTATTTCTTTTTGGGTAGTGTAATGAATATCGTATTCTGATAGGATCATCTGCCATCTTGCTATTCTCCCAGAGAGGGAAGGCTTCTCGAATATGTATTTAATTGGATCCATCTTGGATATCAATAAGGTAGTATGGGTCAGCATATACTGTCTTAGCCGGCGAGAAGCCCATGCCAGAGCGCAGCAAGTTTTATCGAGCAGTGAATATCTTGTTTCACAGTCGGTAAACTTTTTGCTCAGGTAGTAAATAACATGCTCTTTTCGGCCAGACTCGTCGTGCTGCCCCAGCACACACCCCATTGAATTTTCCAAGACAGTTAGATACATGATCAAAGGTCGTTCATCGACTGGCGGCATCAAAACAGGAGGCTCTTGTAGGTACTCTTTGATCTTGTCGAAGGCAGCTTGGCATTCATCATTCCAATTGACTACTTGATCTTTCTTCAGTAATTTAAAGATTGGTTCACAAGTAGCGGTTAAGTGAGAAATGAATCTGGCAATGTAGTTTAGTCGTCCTAAGAATCCTTTGGCTTCCTTCTCGGTGTGAGGAGCAGGCATTTCTTATATTGCTTTCACCTTGGTAGGGTCTACTTCGATACCTTTACCGTTGACGACGAAGCCTAGGAGTTTACCAGACCTTACCCCAAATGTATATTTATTCGGGTTCAACCTTAGCTTGTATTTCTTTATCCTTTCAAATAGTTTCGGCAAATGGTCAAGATGTTCCTCTTCAGTTTGAGATCTGGCTATCATGTCATCCACATAGACCTCTATTTCATGATGGATCATGTCGTGAAATAGAGCTACCATAGCGTGTTGATAAGTTGCCCCTGTGTTCTTCAACCCGAATGGCATAACCTTGTAACAGAAAGTACCCCATTGTGTGACGAAGGTCGTTTTCTCCATGTCCTCAGGTGCCATTTTGATCTGGTTGTAGTATGAGAAACCATCCATGAAGGAAAATACTTTATGTTGTACAGTGTTGTCAACCATAATATCGATATAGGGCAGCGGGAAGTCATCCTTGGGGCTTGCCCTATTCAAGTCTTTGTAGTCCACACACATACGTACCTTACCGTCCTTTTTAGGCACTGGAACAACATTGGCGACCCATTGTGGATAGGAGGTGACAGCTAAGAATCCAGTGTTCAATTGTTTCATGACTTTAGTCTTGATCTTCTCTAACATGTCTGGCCGCATGCGGCGGACTTTATGTTTTACCGGAGGGCCGTCTTCTTTTGTCGGTAGACGATGGACCACGATATCAGCTTTAAGTCCTGGCATGTATTTGTATGACCAGGAAAAGACCTCAACATAGTCATGAATGAAGAAGTGAAGTTTATCGAAGACAACAACACTTGGTCACTTGTCGAGTTTCCTCAAGGCAAGAAGGCAATTGATGTTAAGTGGGTACACAATGTGAAGATGAATCCCAAAGGGGAAGTAACTCGACACAAAGCAAGGATCGTGGCGAAAGGATTTCTCCAGAAAGAAGGAATAGACTCTGATGAAGTTTTTGCACCAGTGGCTAGAATCGAAATAATCAGGTTGGTTGTTGGTCTAGCAGAAATAAACAATTGGCATATACGAAGAAGTTTATGTTAAATAACCAATTAATTTGTGAAACATGACGAAGAAAGAAAGGTGTAAAGGCTTCAAAAAGCCTTGTATAGATTGAAACAAGCTCCACGAGCTTAAAATAAGAAGATTGATAGTTTCCTAAGGGTGAAGGAATTAGTGAAGTTCATAACTGAACATGGAGTATATGTAAGAAGAATGAATAGTGAATATCTTATATTATGTCTCTATGTCGATGATTTGTTGATAATAAATAGCTGCAAAAGTGAGCTCGAAGAATTTAAAGGTGATCTCAGCAAGGAATTCGAAATATCGGATCTGGGTGACATTTTATATTTCCTTGGCATCGAATTCTATAAGAGTAGTAGAGGTTTGATGATGTATCAAAGAAGATATGCAAGTGAAATTCTCAAGAGATTTGAGATGGAAGAATGCAACTCGACTTCGGCACATGCAAAACCAATACTTCAGCTGTTGAAATATTCAAAAGAAGATGATGTCGACCCAACCCAATATAGAATACTTATTGGTTCATTACGATACATTTGTCATACGAGGCCTGACTTAGCATACAATGTAGATATGGTAAGCAGATTCATGCAGAAGCCAAAGGTATCACACCTAGTAGCAGCGAAGAGGATACTGAGGTATCTGAAAGGAACTCTCGATTATGGCATTTTATTTCTAGTAGTTGATAAAGGAAAAGAGCGCAAGTTAGTGGGGTACACTTATTCGAGTTGGTGTAGTGATTTTGAGGATTGAAAATCCACAACAGGATCTGTGTTTATGTTAGGTGGTGCACCAGTTGCTTGGAGTTATATAAAGGAACTAGTAGTGGCATTATCATCATGCAAAGCAGAATACATAGTCGCTTCTCTTTGTGCATGTCAAGCAACATGAATGGTGAACTTGGTCCAAGAAATCACGTAGAAAGATCATGGGCAATTTCCATGAAGATCGATAGCATGTCAGCTATCAACCCGATGAAGAACCCAATAGCACATGGTGGAAGCAAGCACATTAAAATGAGGTTCCACTATCTTCGAGAGCATGCAGCAGATGGAAAGATGAACTTGGAACACTACAGAACTGAGAATCAGATTGCAGACATCATGACAAAGGGTGTGTAAGTCAAAGTATTTTGAAGACTAAAAGCTATGATGAATGTAGATAGCTTAGACACAATGAATTATATGGTGTGTTGAATTGTAATTTATAGTGTCGAATTAGATTTAGTTACACACAGATTTGATTAGATTGGATTTAGTTCTAAAAGAGGTATTGCGGGCTTTCATAGTTTTGGGCTTTGGCTTAGGAAGCAAGCTAACCTAAATCTATAAATAGAGGGAGTAACCCCTATTTTTGTAATCAATCAATTTGTATTCACAAAATTTGCAGTTGCTAGTGAATCAAAAAGTTTTCCACAGTTTGTGGACAGAGAGAAACTCTGTAGAAAATCATTGTCTTTTCTTTTCTTTCTTCCTTTCATATTTTGTCATCGTTATTGTGTGGTGATAACAATCTTGTTCATCAAGATTGATAGAAATTCACCATAGACTTTGATGGATTACCACGTAACTTACACCATCTAATTTTTAGAAGAGTATTTTAATAGCATGCACTTTAGAGTTCGTTTAACTATATTTAAGTTAAAGCTTACTAAAATACTCATTCATATATATATATATATATATATATATATATATATATATATATATATATATATATATATATATATATATATATATATATATATATATATATATATATATATATATATATATATATATATATATATATATATATATATATATATATATATATATATATATTTGAGCCATGTCATTTTTTTGTTAACTTTTAAGTTTTGTAAAAAAAAAAATTGTTATCATTGTTCTTTTATTTTAGTCCATAAAATATTTTTTTTAATGTTTGAATGGATGACATTAAACACGTGATAAATTCCATACATTTTTTTTTTATTGATTCAATCGAGTTAGATTTAACAAGTTAAAGGATATTAAAATTGTCACCAAATCTTGTGAAGAAGTTAATAATCCAAAGAAGAAATGTTAAGAAGAATTTAAATTAACAATGTAAATATTAATGGTTAGTATTCTGTTAAGATCCTAATTTTCAGTATAGCCAATATATATTGTATGAAAATTATGGTTAAAGTAAAATTCATAAACTACATTTGGTCAACTTTCTAATATTGGTCCAAATTAACTCACACTGTTCCTACATTCTCTGACCTATAATTTTGGTCATCCATAAATGTTTTCTTATAGGAAGCAATTGACTCACTTCCATGGTTAATCCTCTTTTCGTCATTTTTATTGGTTGTTTAGCTTATAGTAATATTATTGTAGAAACCATTTTCATAAAATACTAGGTATCATCATACATACTTGAAAGATTGGTCTTGATATAGTTGAAATGGGTAGCTTATTGTTAGATCAAATTAAAAAGCAGACGACAAATTTTCTACAAGAGAAATACAAATCTGCTAGGATGACATTTACAGATGTTACCGGAGCTGAATTGTAAGTATATGTGCTTACACACATTTTTCTTGCTCATCCTGGTCGTCGATTTGTGATCAGACGACTCATATGTTACATAAAGTTTTCCACATAAAATGTTACACTTAATTTGTTCACGCATATTTGTGGTTAATTAGGCTAGCTGAGGAAGCAACAAACAAAGATGATTGCAGTCCTGATGCAAAAACAATGACAAAAATTGCTGAGGCATCTTTTGATATTGATGAATATTGGAGGATTGTTGATGTTCTTCATAGAAGGTATATATGTTAATAATATAAGGGGAAAAAATAAATTTATGAAATTAGTGACACTTGTCTAGAATTTTCAAATTTAATAACATAAATGATTCAAAGTGCAGGTTGTACAATATTGATTGGGATCAATGGAGGCAATCTTACAAAGCATTAGTTCTTCTAGAATTCATGCTCACTCATGGTCCTATAGATTTTGCTAGAGAATTTCAATGTGATGCTGAAATTATTGAAGAACTAGGAAATTTGACTTATATTGACAAAAGAGGGTAACTTTTTACTCTTTCTGTGTTATAATTTTTTTAATGATGATTAATAAACAGGACATATTAAGGATTAATTCGAGGAGACCTCCCACCGCCACTCGCGGTGGTTTCATTTAAAACATGAGATATTAAGAGGAGAACACATCTAAGTTCAAAATTTTCACTAACAGACCAATCCTAAGGCCTGGTTAATAAATAAGTCCTATAACCAACTAATCTGATAAAGACCAACCTCACTATCCACTTGTCAGGGTATCATTTAAAGGATGTGACTATAAGAGGAGCATACTCTTAGGTCTCAAGGCTTCACCAAGAGGTTAACTCTAATGGTTAATTAATAAACAAGCAATATAATCTACTAACCTGGGGGAGACCAATCGCACCATTCACTTGCGGTGATCATATTTAAAACTGAGATGGAACACACTCTCGGGTCGAAGTTCATTAATGAATAGGTTCATTATTGATTTCAGGTTTAACTGGGGAAGTAGAATGCAAAACCTAACAAACGAAATACTAAAGCTTTTGCAAGGTGGAGAAGCTCTAAAAGAGTCTCGTTTGAAGGCACTGAAAATAACAAATGAAATACAAGGATTTGGAAGTGGAAGTTCATTAGACTCTCCAACATCAATAGTATCATCACCTTGTTCATTCTCTTCGGATCAATTAGGCTCACCAGGGTCTTCATCATTTTGCTCATTTTCTACCAATAGTAGTCCTAAGAATGTGGATGAAAAACAACTTTGGAATGGTCCAGCAGTTGAAGAGATTTTGATTGGTTCTGGTGATGATGTTGATGATGATGATGATTCTTATGGAGAAGATGGAAAACCAAAAGGGTTTGTTAGTGAAATATGTTCAAAGATTATTGGTGGAAATGGTCGTGGAAAGATTGAATTCAGATGCATTTCTGATGTTGGGAGTAAGGTTGCTAAAAAGAGTTATGATCGCCAATATTCACTTTGGTTTTAAAGGAATATTGTTATATATATGTATTATGATAGAAAAGTTTATATGCATGATGTTTCTTAGTTTTAGTACTATACAATGATATCCCTTGTAAATTTCATCACATATATATGAATGTACACATATGTAATATTAATAACAATTGGTTTTATCTTATGTTTCTACTAAAATGGATTATTAACTTTAGAAAGGTGTGAGATTTGGACAAGGGAGCATGTCCCAAAAAATGTGTTGGATAATGAGATAAAACATGGTTTCACTTTAGTATCCTGAATGAGGTGGATTTATTCTGTTCAAACTTTGTAGGGTACATTGGTTTAGCTAAGGGACTTGTTAGTAATAAGACTAGCTAATAACACAAGTGAGAGTTTTTCTTTTTATACCTCTAAAATCTATCCAAAATTCTTAGAATTAACAAAAATATTTTAGATTCTTAAATCTGCAACGTGTTTTTGAAAATTCCTATTTTTTCTGCTTTTTTGGTAAAGTTTAGGTGAGTTGAGTTTTAGGGGTTTAGCAGAGTCAGAATAGGTTATAACACCCCGATTTTTAATTGCTATTATTTAATTATTATATTATATAATAATTAATTTAATTGTGGGATTTGGTGAATATTTGAATTACATAAATATATGTGTTATTTGAATAATTGGATATATGAGTAAGAATAGAAAATAATTATAATTTGGCTTTATGTCATAATAGAATGGAAGTGGAATTATGCCATTAATGAAATAGAGTAGTAAGAAGAGGAATTAGAATTAGTGTTGTCATAAAACAAAAATAAAGAAGAGAAGAAAAGAGAAGAGGAGAAAAAGGAGAAAAGAGGAAAAGTGAAGAGTCAATCCTAAAGACTCTACACTCAAGGTAAGGATGAGAATTTATGTTATTGTGGAAATATATATGATTAGACGATGGGTAGAGTAACATGTAATAGGATTGAGTATGTGAATTTCTAGGTTTTAAATCACTCAATTTGATTTAGGGATTTGGAAATTAGGTTTTGGAAATCTAGTTTTATGATACAAATAGGTTCCATTTGATGTATACATGTTAGAATATATTTATTTGGTGAAAAATTAGCATTAGAACATGACTTGGAGGTAAAATTTGTAACAAGACAAAACTGTCCCGTAGCAGAATTTTCTGCGTAATTGGAAGGGAGCTTAACGCGGCCTATGGTGCTTAGCGCGTGTGGCTGGAAATGGAAAAATGATTTATGCATGAATGTGATTGGGATATTGTATATTATGATTTATCATGAATTTACATGAATTTTAATAAATTATTCGATGTGTTTTGGATTGGTTTTGGATGAGTTTTGAAGAATACATGATACTTGATTTTAGTATAATGTATGTTGTATTTTGGTGATTGTTGAAAATAACATTGGTTGGCTTATATGCTATATGTTGTTTCTGAGCTGCGATGATGGTTAATACTATGCAAATGTATTTTTAATGATGTTTATCTGACAACATGATAAATATATGTTTTGTGCAATTGTTGGTGGATAATTTAATGTGTTGAATTATTATGATGTACTTGGATGATTAAGATTGTGAGATGGTCTTAATTGCATATGTTTATAGGAAATTTCACATGCATTCATGGGGTAATTGAACTCCGGTTGGTTTCTTTGATCCTTGTGTATGTAAGTGTTCGAACTGATGATGTTCGAATATAACATAATTTGTATTTAATTGCTACATGTTATAATAATGTGTTGAGATGATTTATACTATGAAATTATTTATATGTGATTGATTGACATGAAAGATGTATGTTATGCAACATTGTGAAGATAATTTAAATATGTGTTGAATTATGTGATTAGTTGTTATGGTGAGCTGTTGAAATTGCACATGTACATGCATCATTTGTGTCAAGAGACAAGGTTTGGTAATTGTTGTACCACAATTTTTCCCCTAAGATCCCCCCATCATACCATGTTGATTCAATCACAACAAGATCATATTAGGGCTTTTGGTTCTCCTCCCTATTTTTAGCTTTGCTCTTTGAGGAATCACCAAGCACCTTGACTTGTTTTCTTTTGTGATCATGAATATTTTTTCTTGATTTTACCTTTAACTAATAAAATGCAATGTTGGTTTGTCTTACTTGTTAATAATGTAGGTAAAAGCAATGAGGTGTAGCAAGTTGCTCCATGGGTTCATGAGTTTATTTCCATGCCCTAGTCAATAAAGCTTGAGAAGTCCAAACCTCACCATTGAAGTTGTTTTGGAAGGGATGGCATGGCAAGGTTATTTTGGTTCACTACATTTCCAAGTTATCAAGATTTATTCAAAAGTGCAAGGGATTGATTGAAGAAGTTGTCATGGTTGGACAAGGCCTTGTTCCCATTGGTCACAAGTACATATTTCTCTAAATTCTCAAGATATGTAAGTGGTTTTGGTAGCTATGAATTCTCATGTTCTTCCTAAATAACTTCTATTTACAAAGCAAGAGTGGTGGTACAAGAAGGTGGTTCAAAATTGTCAAGGTTCCTCAAAACATTTTCTTGATCTAGAAGCTAGGGTTTTGAACTTCAAAGAAGTATATATTGCTCATCTTTTGTTATTTTTGAGTGATTCCAAATAAATCCTTATCTTTAAAGGGTTACTAACAAATCATTTCAAAAGTTTCAAGGAGTTTTCATGTGGAAGAAACTTGATGAAGAAGAAAGATTACAAGTCCTCCAGATGAACCTCCAATTTCTCAGGTGTGACTTTAAATGATCATAACTTAGTCAATTCTTATCACCTTGGGCCAACTCTTTTTCCATAATGATCTTGAGGATGTAAACTTTATTCCTTATTTTATATGCAAAGTGATAAAAGGGATGGAAGATGCCCTAAGGATACAAAATATTATAGGTCATTTCATGATTTTTTGCCAACTTCAATAATTCATAACTCTCTCAATTTTTGGATATTTTGAATGGTTCAAGTTTCAAAGTGTCATTTAATAGGTCTATTTAATGCCATCTTTTTTGGTCAAGAGCAAATTCCAAGTGGAAGACCATGTTTGATGCAAAACATTATAGGTCACTTTTGAAGAAAAATTTGAAATATTTCTAAGTATGGAAAGTCAACCCTTTTTCTCCAACTTTGACTCAATGCAACTTTAAGCTCAAGCATCCATTTGATTTAATTATTTTTCCATTGAAAAGCTTGTAACATCATCTTTCTAAAGCATTAAGAATTATGCCCTAAGATCCCTTGAGCTGTGAATGTCATTGATTTGAACTTCGTAACTTGAAACTGAAGTTTCTTCAAAAGTCAGAATTTGAAATCATTGATTTAGCTTCTAAATACTTTGTTTTTGTGCGTTTTTGCCTCTAAACATATTTAGTGAACTTCCAGAAGTGATTAGCACAACAAATCATGCGTTTTGGATGAATTTTGATCAAATTAGAAGTCACATTTTTCTTGTTTGTAACTTCACGTGATTTCCCTCCAAACTTCATCATTTAACACGCTTTGACATTCCATTTGATTCCCTATAAATAGAGGGTCATCCCTCATTCATTTTCTCAAGCTTGGATAGCCAGAATCACCCTGCCAAACTTGTTCCATAACTCAAATTTCTGAAACTTCAAAATATGTGTTTGTTGTACCCCAAAATTTGCCCTCTCATTTTACTCAACACATTCCCATTGAGGTCCTCAATTTGCTCAAGGATGCCCAAGAGTTGACCAGACAAACTCTCTCCTAAGGAAATGTACCTCAAATTAGGGTGTCCATTTTCATTAGGGTGTGGGAGCTCCAGAGGTCCCAAATGCTTTCCATGGTCCTAATATGTTCTCAAGATCATCCATGTCAAGTTTCATACCTTACACAAGAAGTTTGCTCAGTCAATTGCCCAGATGCCTGGAAATCAACTATACTAGGTCAAAAGTCAATTATGGCCCACATACAGTCAAACTTCAAGATTTTTTGTCAACATCAACATTTTGAAGTGATATTAATCATTTGATTAAGGGTTTATCATAATTCCTCAAGGAATGCCCCAAATTCATCAAAACCCAAAAGTTGTTAAGTTAGGGTTTCTCAAGAAAAGTCAACCAAACTTTGACCAAGCATAACTTCTTAATACTTTATCAGAAATTTTCCATCCAAGGATCACTTTGAATAGGATGCAATTCCCTACAATTCATCTTCATCCCACAAGTTCAAAATATGCACTCATCAAAAGATATGAATTTCTACATTATAGGTCCTTTTGAAAAGTCAACAAAAACACCTTTTGGGTCAAAGCTTCTTACATGAACATGGGAGACCCAATTGAGATGAGACCAAAAGGGTTGTTTAGGTGACATCCTAGCTTTCTAAAAAATCCAAGAAAACATCTCTAGGGTTAAAATTGGAGTAGATATGCCTTGTCCAAGTTGACCATTTTTGCAAAATTGCCAAAAGTCAAATGTGCTCAAAAATACATTTTTTGTCAAAAGGGCCTAGTTTTTCATGATTGAATCTTGCTTGTGACATGGTCCACGACCCAAATCAGCATCTACACTTTACTTGCTTCATTATTTATTTTGATTTTGATTTTTTATTATTTAAATTTCAAATTAAATCAAATAATTGCAAAAAAAAATACAAAAGATTGATTTTTGATCTGATTTTTTGTAGGAATCAAATCCAATTAGGCTGACAAATCATATCCAAAACGTGCAAAACAAATTGAATCAAAATTGGCATGATTAGGCTTATTTTGGAAACATATCATACAAGAGAAAAACAAAATCAAATCTTGATGATCTTCAAAGATACAAGGCATTTTTGTTGACCTAATTCATTCTAGTATATATGCTGAACATAACCAAGCCAAAAAAACAAGGATTGCAGGTCGTGAGAGCACAAAGCAAAACTGGAAAAAAATTGATAAAAAGTGGTGATTTGTTTTCCAACCTAGAGGGCAATTCAAAGCATTTCAAAGCTACCAATCGATTCCTGGACATCTCCAGAACGCGTTCCAATCATTTGCCATTCCTCCCAAGC